GATAGATAGATAGATAGATAGATAGATAGATAGATAGATAGATAGATGGATGGATGGATGGATAGATGGGTCATTCTCTCTGTTCTGTCTCTCTCATTTTGAGTAGTGATGAACAGATGGATGGCAGAGAGAAGAGAGACTCATAGGTTGAAGGGAGGGGTTCTAATCCTGCCCGCTTCTTAAGCCAGGAGATCTTATACCATCCCCCGTCCAATGATTGTCCCCTCTATTTTTGAACACTTTCAGTTGGTCGGCCTGGCTCACCCCCACCTCCCATTTCTATGGCTTTCAGCAGTGGATTTCCAACCCCCCCCCCCCCCCCCCCCCCAGCAGCAGGCCACTCCCACGTTTTCTCTCCCCCAGGCATTTTCCTTTCCTCCCCCTTCAGGAAGTCGGCTACCAGCACGGGAAGACGGTTTTCAATGTTTGGTGCAGGAGCGGAGTCCTCGAGAAAATGCTGAAGGACCGGCAGGAGCGTTGCCAGTCTAAGCCATCATGTGTGAGTGTCCCCTCGTGGGAGTGGGGAGAAGCCAGCTCAGCCAACAGCCACCACCACCCCCCCCTTTGAGAGGAGGAGATAGGCTGGGGCACCGCCTGTCTTCAGGGCCTGTCTTCAGGACCTGTTTTCACCCATGGTCTGCTTAGTCCCTTTTTTGAGATTTTGGCAGGGGCACTAATAGAAGAGACTATTCGGAGCTCAGGGTTGAAGTGTGGGGGGTCCTTGGTGCTCTCTGAGCTGGGTGGTTTTCTTGCAGACGTTTCATGACCCAACTAGGTAACGTCATCAGGGCTAGAAGGGAGTGCGGCTTGAGGGCAGGAGGAGAAGGGGAAGGAGGAGGAGGAGGAGGACTGTAGGGTCCTTGGTGCTCTCTGAGCTTTGTAGTTTTCTTGCAGACATTTCATTACCCAACTAGGTAACATCATCAGTACTAGAAGTCGGTCCCTCCCTAGTAACCATTCGCAGAGGATATCCATAGTTTATTGCTTTAGTCTGGCAAGATTCTGTCTGTGGGCGAATGACAGCAAAGCTACTACTCAGGGGTAACTCCACATGTCTTTGTTGGTTCTTGAGCCTGACCATGACTGAGATACCCAGCAGTGCTCATTCTCTCTCTCTTTCTTTCTTTCTTTTCCTCCCCTTTCAGTACATGACATGCCCGACAACCTCTTTCACGGATTTGGCTGAAATCGTCTCCCGAATAGAACCGGTGAAGGCCATGATAGTGGATGGTGAGCCAAGGGAGTGAGACAAGCCATTATCAATAAAGGAGAATATTTGTAGCTTGGGGATGGAATTGAGGGGTCCTTGGGGTGCTCCGGTTTTCTTGCAGACATTTCACTACCCAAACTAGGCAGCACCATAGCTGGTCCAGGTGTTCTTATTTTGCATAGTTGTACCTATTTCGTTTGCTAGAAGAAGCAGTGGACTGTTGAGTTGCTACAGGCACTCCAGTGTGAGGATATCAGCTGTCAACTCGTAAAGCACTCCTATGCCTGTTTTCGAGTTGCCATAAGTAAGGGGGAGGAAATCTGAAGGAGCAGTACAGCAGTTTAAAAACAGAAGTATATTCTACGCTTATCTTACAACGATTGTAGCTAGGCTACCGGATCTTCTGCCCAGGAAACTCCTTCATTGGAGAACATGATAGATGACACTCAACCTGTGAAGGTGCTTCATTGGAGAATCTGATTTATGACACACCCAGGGAGCAAACAGGGTCACAGGTGACTGTAAATTACGTATGCCAGAGTTGGCTACATTTAGGTTAATGCTGGTGTGTTGCTCCTAATAAATCTTTGGAAGTTTGTCTCGAGGCCCATGATTTAATTAGGGCAATTTCCGGAACCCTGACATCGGCTTAGCATTCTTCTTCCCACCGTGACCCTGGCTTAAAACAAACCCTCTCCGACTTCTCTCATGTTCAGACGAATCCGACTACCAGACCGAATACGAAGAGGAGATTTTCGACATCCAGAAAGATGACTACGTCAATTTCCTGAGCAGCCAAACGGAAGAATATTTTGACTCTGTAAGAATAACCCTGTAACTTTCGGGGTCCCCCTGTCAGCCCCCCCTTCTCTCTCCCCCCCCCCAGCTGTGGAAGTTATCGGGTTTGATTTAAGAAGGGTTTGATTTTTGCAGGCCAAACAGCCCTAGTCCTTTCTTTTTTTCTTGTTTACAGTTTTTATTAGTTTATAATATAAAATACAAAAGTCCAAAAACAAATGGTAGGAAAAATAGGGGAAGGGAGAAGTGTAGAAAAGAAGGGAAAAAAGAAAAAAAACGGCATTGACTTCTGGACTCCTCTTAGTATGGCAGTAACATCCAACTTCAACTTTTTACTTTTACTTTTTTAACAACAAATCAATCAGTAAAACCCCAAATCAAAGTTTCATTTGGTATGATTGTAAATCGACACATCACATGGCCGGAGCTGATTTTAGTTTGGCCTAGTGGTTAAAGCACCAGGCTAGAAAGCAGGAGATTATGAGTTCGAGTCCCGCCTTAGCCAAGAAAGTCAATTGAGTGGCTTTGACCCAATCCCCAGGAGGTGGTGAGTTCTAGTCCCGCCTTAGTCACAAAAGTTGGCTGATGACTTTGAGCCAATCGCCAAGAGATCGGAAGTTCGAGTCCCGCCTTAGGCACAAAAGCCAACTTGTTGACTTTGGGCCAGTCTCCCTCTCTTAGCCCAACCCACCTCATGGGGTTGTTGTTGTGGGAAAAAAACAGTCGGAGGAAGGTGTGTTGGCCCACTGCCTTGAGTAATAACTCAAAATAAAAATAACAAAAAAAGGTTAAAAATAAATAATAAAAAATGATAAAAATAAATAACAAAACACATAATAATAAAATAAATAATAAAATAAATAAACAATAAAATAAGTAATAAAATAAATAATAAAACAATAAAATAAATAATAAAACAAATAATAAAATAAATAATAAATAATAAAAATAATAAAGGCCGGATACAAATCAATCAATCAACATGGCCTTAGTCAACCACCAGATTTGAAAGGGTCAGAGAGACCAAACCGTGACATCTCAGTACGTCTCCATCTCGAGCCAAATCAAATCAATTTTTTTTCCTCTTTTTATCTCCAGCAGGATCCAGAAATCCGCCAGCGAAAACCTATCCGCGGCGACTCCGAAGACAGCCAACTCGCAGCATAACAAGACCGACTCTAAAAAACCCACCTTGGCTCACCTGGCTTTCTCCTCCTCCTCCCCCTCATTGCCAACTTCCTTCGTGTGGAGAAGCCGTGGGCGCCTCTCCCTTCCCTACTCCATTTCTCGGTCTAAAAAACCAAGGTGTCCCCAACACCCCCCCCAAAAAAGTGATTGGCATCCGCTGATGGACAAACGGGGAGCGGGGAGGTGGGGGGGCGCGTGCCATCCGCCTCTTTGCAAACTCTCGGCACCTGCAGAAACTTTGGGGCTGTTTGGACAAACCGAGAGGGCAGGAAGAAGGGAAAGGAGCCCCATTGCCCAAATCCGGGGTGAAAGGACAAATAGCGGAGCGGAGGGCGGACTCCTGGCCGCCTTCAGCGCACTGGATCTCAGCGAGTTTGGTGCTCTGTCTCCAAGGGGAACCGAAAGTCCCCCACCCACCCCAGGAATTGGCATCTAGCGTAGGGGACGTGTTTTGCTCGGGGCCGAATGTCTGAGATGGAAGCCATCTGCCTGGTGGGGGGGTGGCGGGTGGAAAGGAAACAAGAGTCGTGATGACAACTGCAGTGACTTTCACACCAACATCCGTTCAAGCAACGCTGCTTCTGCGGCGGCAGAACGAGTTTTCTCAGGTTCCTGCAAGAAGCTGGGGTGGTTTTTTTTTTTAACCTTGCTAAAAACTTTGGCGGAAAAATCCTCCAACTTATTTATACCGGCGTCCCTTTCAGCCCACGCTTGCCGTTCCTGGGTTGTTATACTGCCAAATCTCTCTTTTTTTTTTGCCCTTTCTCTCCTCAGGGGTTCTTAAAAGAGAATAATAAAAATAATAAAAAGCTGGAAACCACATCCTGGTGTGCACCGTGGCTCAAAGGCACCAGTTTGGGGGCATTTGATTTGCGTTTTGCAAATAAATCCAGACGAAGGGATGGTATTTTGGGATGGTGGGTGGTCCTAATGGTGATACAGGATGTCCTCGGCTTACGGCTGCAATCCAGCCCAAAATTGCTGTTGCTAAGCGAGACGGTTCTTAAGTGTGTGTGTTTTGCCTGTTTTTGCCTCACCATCATCATGAAGGGACTCACTGTGAGTTTCCCTCCCTCCGCCGCGTTGATTTTTGGGGGGCAGACAGTCGCAGAAGGGGATCTGGTGAACTCTGGGACATTGCAACCATCACAAGTACATGCCAGTTGCCAAGCGTTCTGAATTTTGATCGTGTGAGCCCGCTCCTAAGTCGCTTTTTTCCCAGTGCCACTGTAACTTTTTTTGTATATATATATATATATATATTTTAAATTCATAAACATTTTGAATACAGTGTATTGTCAGGGCTTATCATTTACAGAAAGGCAAAAGGAAGAACAGACAGGGATATTAACATATATCCTAATAAGCAATAACAATAGTGTAACAATAGTTTTAACTATATTTTTTTTTATCTTAGCTTACTTGTCATTCTGTTGGTTACACTGGCATATTTATAATTATAAACCATCTTTATATTTAATTCATGAATAGCAATAATCTTCATCTAATTTCTACCTCTTATCTCTAGCCACTCATAAAATCTGTTCCATGTTAAGTGGTATTCTTGTGTCGTCTTCATCTTTTATTTTTAACGTCAGTCTGTCCATCTTTCAATATTTTCCGTCCAATATTTTCCGAATTACATCCTCCTCCTCTGATGGGGTGTTCTCATTTTTCCAATACTGTGCAAATACAATACATGCCAAACTAAACCTATAGTCCCTTGATCATAGCCCTCCGGCAATATACCCAACAAAAATATTTCTGCTTCCAGATCTATATGTTGCTTGATCATCTTTTCTTTTGAACGGTCACTTTTAAGTGGAGGTCATGGTTGTCCCCAAAATGCTTTTTTTTCCCCTGGACTTTCTGGCTTTTCTTCTTTGAAGATGTTTTGCTTCTCAACCAAGGAGCTTCTTCAGCTCTGACTGTGGATGGCGGGGAAGGGAAGGATTGATACTCCTTGCAGACGGCTGGTCATTTGCATCCTTTTAGAGGGCCGTTGAGGCCACTTGGAGGTTTATCTGTATCCTCGGGGGTCCAAGTAATCTCAGTGACCCTCTAAAAGGGTGCAAATGACCAGCCGTCTGCAAGGAGTATCAATCCTTCCCTTCCCCACCATCCACAGTCAGAGCTGAAGAAGCTCCTCGGATGAGAAGCGAAACGTCTTCGAAAGAAAAATGCAGAAAGTCCAGTTGCCTCCTGGGGGGTGGGGAAAGCTCTACAGCTTCTTCGTTGAAAGTGGGATGGAGTTCTCTGTGGTGAACTGGAAGGAGGGGTCCATCTCTTCCGGCCTTCTTGACCGCCCGTTGATGGCCACGAACACATTCTCCATTTTCTGCCTTTTTTGACGTCATCCACAGGCTGGAAAACACCATGTGGTGGATGTTTGCACAAGCGAGAGTGTCGGGAATAAAAAAAAAACCCCAATCGCCCAGCACTTATGTAGGCAACCCGTTCCTAGAGATGCAATTCAAATGTGACATTATTATTACTATTTTTTCTTCTTCTTCCTCCGAGAAACAGATGGATCAGTTTGAGACTTGAGAATAGCCCCATGTGCAAAGAAGGCTGGGAATATATATATATATATGTGGAAAATACAGCAAAAAAAACCCCCCAAACCCCTTTTCTAACCGCCATTCAAACTGAGGACGCGTTGGTCGTTCTGCAGAAATGTACAGATAATCAGAGTTGGAAGGGACCTTGTAGGTCATCTAGTCCAACCCCTCTCCACCCAAGTAGGAGACCCTACACCATTTCTGACAGATGGCAGTACCGGTGTCTTCTACCGGAAAGCTTTCAGGGAATGAAGCACCCACGACTTCTGAGCAATGGAGTCTTTTTAAGGCCAAAAGGTTGTGGATCAGACCGAGAAACCAAGGTTAAAATCTTGGGCTGTGTTTCTAGTCCACAGGAACCATAATACGTGAAATGCTTTTAGTTTTTTTTTTTCATCCTCCTAGCCCTCAACTTTTTCATTTACCGACCGTTCAAAGTTACAACGGCAATGAAGTGCACTCAACCAAAACAACGAAGAAGCTCTCGGAGAACACCAAGGCCCCGGGAACCTTTAGTCCTTAAACAACCATTTAAATAACCTTTAGTCCTTAAATAACCACTGCAACTGTTTTCCGCTGCTGCCTTTGATGGGTTGTTTTTTTCATAAACAACCAAGAGAATTAGGATGCTCCTGGATCAGCTAGAAGGAACCGGCAAAGGAACATGATTAAGTACAGGAATCAACCGTTAAGATCCCAGCAAAAAGCTGCGTCTTGAGTTCTTAGATCGAATGAAATCCTTGCCGATAATGGCAAAAAAAAAACCCAAGAGGAAAGCGCAGCACACCAAGCTGTTTGCAAGCTACTTGTTCAATTCAGGCTATTTTTTTTTTCCCTGATGCTCTTTTCAAATCCTCTTCCTGCTCAATTTCTTTTTCTTTCTCCCACTATTAAACCGTCGGCATTTCGAGCCCACGAAAACCGTTCCATTTTGGCCGCTCTATTTTTAGCCCCGCCGAAGGATAACAGGTTTTGACAAACAACGCCAAGTCAATCTCTCTTTTTTTTCCCCCGCACTCTCTTGGGGGGCATTTTGTGCTATTTTGGCTACTCAACACATCTGGACTCGCCTCCGAATTTTGGTAAATGAAACGCAAGGGAGAACTGCTAAAAATAGGAAGGCTAAATTAGGGGATGGTTTTAAGCTAGCATCCTGTGCGCTAACAGCAGACGACCCAATGTTTTGTGGAAAGGTTTCCTGCTGGGCCACCCCCCCCACCCCACCTCTCTCCCCCACCCCCACAGATCTGTTGCTTTGGAAGGCAGAGGTAGACTGCTCCTGAACCTGGAGGCTTCACTTAACTGAAGAAGCAAACGCATCGGCGCAGCGTAGTTTCTCCTTTAAGGCCAGAGAGTTATAAAATAGCTCCAACCGCCTCATCCATCTTCCCAGGAACTCGGTTTTGCTGCGTTTCCTGGTTTGTAGTTGGGTAAAAAGTACTTTCTCTCTCATCTCACGCACCCCTCCTCTTCTCTTCCTGGATTGTTGCAATAAATGTTGGTCCATAGGTCTTTTCATAGATATTGTACTCTCGAATTGCAAATGGAGACGTGGGCAGTCTATTTTTCTTATCTTCATTTTTGAGTGCTTGGGTTTTATTGTATTGCAAACAGTTGCTGGGGGTGCATCCACAGTTTCGTTGTACTTGTACAATCACAATAAAGTTCTTCTAATTATAATTCTTAGTGGAGAGCTGGGAAGAGCCAGTTGGGGTGACAGTTAAGGCATCGGGCTCGAAACCAGGAGGCTGAATTCTAGTCCCACCTTAGACATGAAAGTTGGCTGGGTGACTTTGGGCCAATCACCCGGAAACTGTGAGTTCTAGTCCTGCCTTTGACATGAAAAATGGTTGACTGACTTTAAGCCAATCCCCAGGAGACCGTGAGTTCTAGGCCTGCTTTTGACATGAAAGCTGGCTGGGTGATGTTGAGCCAAACACTTGGAGATGGTAAGGTCTAGTTCTGCCTTTGACATGAAGCCAACAAGGTGACCTTGGGCCAATCTCTCTCTCTCTCTCTCTCTCTCTCTCTCTCTCTCTTTCTCTCTCTCAGCCCCAGGAAGCAGATAATAATGTCAAACCGCTTCTGAAAATCGAGGCCATCTCAGGAGTTGGTGCTGATTCAAAGACACACAGTATAACGATTATTTTGGCCATCCTCCCCTAGACAGCAGACTCCATAGAAGCAGAAAAAAGAGAACCCAGGGCAAAATATTGGAAATGAAATATTATATTGGAAATGTGGACTCGGAAAATGGATGGCAAGATTCTTGTACCTGGGAGGCGGGAGGAGAAAAACCCAGTAATAGAGTCTGCTGTCTGATCAAGAACCCATCAGACTGATAATATTTTTTGCCTTCAGCAATAGCTCAACGAGAACAAAATGTAACACAAAACTGTTTCTTATAGGGAATTTGGTGACGCATCGAAGAGATGTTTAAAGACGGCTAGAGAAGGAGCAAGCTTTCGAATACAAACCAGCAGTGAGTATCTATCCGTCTATCTGGATTCAAGCCCTCTTTTGCCCTGTCTGGACCCCACGGCCTCAGTTTCCAATTCTGTAAAACGGGCGTGACAAGGTCTTCCTTAAGCTGAGGGCTGAAAACTTCCAAGTTTCCCTCAAGTGCCTGTTTCTTAAAAAGGGTCTATCTAGATTTTTTTTAAAAAAAATAAAAAAAGTTAATTGCCCTTGCTTGCTGTTTGTGAGTCCACGCACCAAAGACAGGATTCTGGATCCTGCCCTGCCCCCCCCCTCTGTCTTGGCAATATCTTCCTGCTCCAGCAATTATAATTATTCCAATAATCCTCTCCTCCCACCTTTTCCCCTCGGTGCAATTTTCCCCAATGAATGCTTCTCACAGGCTCCTTGGGGAAAAAAGCACAAAGAAGGGACTACACAGCTTCCTTCCTTCTGCTTTGGAATAAAATATAAATAAAATAAACTAATGCTTAGAATATATCCTGGCTTCTTAATCCATGGATCATTCAGGCTGCTGCTGGTGGTTTTCTCAGTCGTTCCTTCATGCATTGTTTTCTGCTTGATCTTTTTGTCTGGAATTAATCCTTGCTTATCCGGTTGTTGGCTGCTTGGAGAGAATATGTTTGGATTCTATTTTGTCCCTGTCTTAGCTTCTTCTTGTTTTTTTAAAAAAATTATCTCTTTCGAACGGTGTGGAAAGGTGCTTTATCTCTATGTGTCCGTTGATGGCTGCTTTGTCCAAATGCCAAGCTTCCAGAAACTCTCTACGGTTTCTGGATTTGGCTTTGATATCGGATGCTCATAGATTCCCAGTTGACAACTGTGGTTGAGTCTGTCCCCATGGTGTGAAATTAAGGACTTCTTGTTATGTCTTCTGACTGCTAAGTTGGTAATCATGGATGGCCTCAGCTAATCTCCTATCTACACATTGGCTGTGACAATCCTTACATTGTATGTTGTCTCCTGTTGTTGTTGTTTTTTCCTACTTGGGCTACAGGGTATTTTGGTTTACTAAAAGTGTTTTGGGAAGAGCTGTAGTCGGTTTGTATACTACTGTATGGCTGTATACAATCTGTTAGTCGTTTCTCTGAGATCATTTTGATAAAGGGTAGTGTTATCCCTCCTGCAAGTCCCTTGGACAGCAAGGCCATCCAACCGGTCGGTCCTAGAGGAGATCCACCCTGGCTGCTCTTTAGAAGGCCAGATCCTGAAGAGGAAACTCAAAGACTTTGGCCACCTCATGAGAAGGAAGGAAGGACTTACTGGAGAAGAGCTAAATGCTGGGAACGGTTGAGGGCAGAAGAAGAAGAAGGGGACGGCAGAGAAGGAGGGCGCTGGATGGAGTCCCTGAAGCAGTTGGCGTGAGCTTCAGTGGACTCCAGAAGATGGTGGAGGACAGGAAGGCCTGGAGGAACATTGTCCAAGGGGTCGCGATGGGTCAGACTTCGGGACTTCACAACGAACAAGTGTTATCCTTTTCCTAGTTGGTTGTGGGCTGAGCGGTCCAGCATTTTTTGCTCAAAGTTGTGCGTGGGTAGCGATACATAGCAACCTTGTGATAGTGTTAGAACCACAATATGAATTCCCAATTCAGGACAGGGGCTGAATTACAGGCACCGAAGGACAGAATGTCCCAGAGAGTGGGGGACAATCCGTTCTCCAGCCTCCCTATTAAAGGAGCCCCCAAAATTGGAGACTTTGAGCTGTCCCGCCTTTGAGACCGACTTGTCCCCATTCTAAAAACACCCTTCCAAGGCCAGAGAGGGCCAGTCCGACTGAGCGGGAGACGGAGAGAAGCCGGTGGCCGGTGGCCACTTTCTTTAGGTGGCCCTTCTCCTCCCATCCAGCACGGAGGGCTCCCTCCAACCTTTCAACCCCTTGCTCGGCCGCTGTCCGACTGCTGGCCAAGCTGCGCTGTCCGGGATTTGGGAGAAGTGGGGGGGGGGGGGGGGTCTCCCTCGCCCACCCTTAACGGCGCCAGGCAACTTTGCAACGGATCGCTCGCCGGCTTGCTCCCTCCAAGGTCGCCGGGCGCGCACGGAGAAAGGGAAGCATCGCTCCGCCGGCTTGCTCCATCCGAGCTGCGCTCCTGTCCTGCCCGCCCGGGACTGGAGGGGGGGGCCGGTCTTCCCCAAATATAGGCATGCCGGCGCCCGCCCTTCCTGAGCTCCGCCTCTCCCCCCCTCCCCTCCCCAGCTTCTCGCCGGTGGCGGAGGAGCCGCAGTCAATGAGCAGCCGCCGTGCGCGCCGAGGGGCGGCCGGTGGGGGCAGCTCCACCTCCTTCCTCGGCAGATCCGCCCGGCAGGAGGGGAGGGGGAGGACCCGAAGCTGGGCATCGGGCTCGGCCGGCGTTGGCAGCAGCGGCAGCGGCAGAAGCGACTGCAACCCACCAGCATGGGCGGTGGCGGCTGAGCGGCGTGGCGGCGATGAGCCAGGGAGACCATGGGCACCGCCGTCTCCAAGCGCCGCTCGTTCCGCAACGAGGCCGTGGCATCGGTGGCGGCCAAAGTCAGGTGAACGACGGGCTCTGCCCCGCCAGGGAAGCGGGGGTGGGGATGGGGGAGAGCTCGGGGTGCGGGGAGCGCGTGGGCGTGTGTGTGCCCCCCCTCCCCAAGCCAAGGAAGGCGGGTAGGGGTCGCCAAGACAAGCCGCGCGTAAAAAAGGCTGCGCGTAAAAAGCCGGCGGGGGCGCAGCAGCTGTGGGAAGGGCGAAGGGGGAGCACACGCGAAAGCCGGAGCCGGGAAATTGGGGCGGGGGCTTCGGAAGAGGGGGAAGAGGCGGCGGGGGGGTCGGCAGCCTGCAAAGGAGAAGCCGGGCAGGAGGAGCGAGCAAAGGGACCGCGGCGGCGGTTGCTACGGGGGTAGGAGGAGAGGACGTGCGAAGGCGCGACGTGCAGCGCTTTGTGCTTTTGCGTTCGGGTCGAGCTGGCAATCCGCAGCTGGGGAGAGGAAGGGGGGGGAGAGGCGGCCGTCGGAGGCGGTTCTTCTCCCGTGGAAGCAACCCAACCTCAGCCGAAAAGCAGCATCTCCGGCTCAAGTTAAAACGCTCAAGCGCTGCGTGCGGATTTGTGCCGGCGCCGCCAACCCGTTGTAGCGCTCACACACTAACCCGGGCGGTTCTATCCCCCTGCCCGACCTCTGCCAGAGGGGGACCCGCCGCTCCTTCTAACAAGCCCCGGGCCGAGCTGCACCCCGGGCTCAGTTTTAGGAAGGCGGATGCCCTTCTGTTGTGAGTTTCTGCCGAGGTTTGCGGGTTTCTGCCCAATCCTGGAGTCTTCCCAGGCTGCTAAAACTCTGTGCCGTTGAATGCGAAGTCCTGGATTCAGGATCCAGCCGCGATTGGAGAGAGGGAGAGGGAGAGAGAGAGAAAGGAAAGGAAGGGAAGGAAAAGAAAGGAAAGATAGATGAAAGGGGAAAGGAAAGATGAAAGGGGAAGGAAAGGAAGAAAGAGGAAAGGAAAGGAAGGAAAAGAAAGGAAAGACAGATGAAAGGGGAAGGAAAGGGAAAAGATGAAAGGGAAGGGAAAGGAAGGACAGATGAAAGGGGAATGAAAAGAAAGGAAGAAAGAAAGAGGAAAGGAAGGAAAGGGGAGGGAGGGGAGGGAGGAGGGGAGAGGAAGAAGAGAAGAGAAGGAGGGAAGGAAAGAGGAAGGAAAGGAGGAAGGGAAAGGAAGGAAGGAATTTGATTACTAGTGCACATGTCAGTCGCATGAGCATGATATCTTAAGAGACATCTTAAGGAAGAAAGATAGACTTTAAAAAAAAAAAAAAACCCAAACTTTTCTATACCTGCCAGCCAGAAACTGCCGCTGCTCTATAGTTTCAGCCCAGCTGTCGCTTTGCATTGGGTCGAAATAGCAGCTGACGTGAGGGGCGAAGCACTTGGCAAGCTGCCTGGCCCTGTTTGGAACATTTGTGGCAAAGCTCCACGGAGCCCCCAGTTTACACCTTGCGAACTTCCAACTTGGTGGATGCAGCACGGAGCTGCAGCACTGCCTGCCTGCGCAGTTCTGACGGCTCTGTCCAAGCATGGCGTTCGTGTTGCCCTTAAACCTGCCTTGTGCTATGCGGACTTCGGTCCGTGTCACCTTCCTGGCTTTAATGGTGCCGAGGCCCCAAATCCTCTGGTCCTCAGCGAGAATGGATCGCTTATTAGCCAGGGAGGATCCTGCTTAGCTGGCCAGGCCAGATGGGGCAGCGTCCAAGAAGAGGTTGAGGAGTGAATTATTGGAGCAGCTGAATACTGCCAAGCGTGGGAAAATTGGAAAGTTATTCCCCTGGGTGTTCTTTCCAGCAGCTTTCATGCTCGGTGAGCGTGCAAATTGCCTTGCCTTTTCTTTCGTGTGACCGTGGAGAAAACTTGGGTAGCTCATTGGCAGAGAAAATGTTTTCTGTCCTGGAGGCCTTGAGTTTAATCCCCTATAGAATTAACTTGCAATCTTTGGATAGCTTCAGGAATTTAAGGAGCACCTGCCGGTGTTTAGCTGTGGTTTGAGTCCGATTCCTACTTTTCAATCCTTCGCAAACGGAATTGAGAGCGTCAATTTCTCAAGCGCAGAATTTGGTATCTGATGCTCTTAAGAAACAGGGTTTCAGCATGCACCAAGTGACTAGTCCTCATTGTCCAGAAGGTGGATTTTCAAACAGTGTGGGTGACGCTTGTTGAATTCTCAGAAGTGGATGTGACAGCGGGTGTGTGTTTATGTGCGTGTGCGTGTGTGTGTGGTAGAGCTCTTTGTTTTTCTCAGAAACAATATAAAGAACCTCAGGGAGTCCTCAATTTGAAACCATTCCTTTAGCAAGTGTTCGGACATTAAAAAGCTCTATGTTCAAATCCCAGTGTCTAGGTGTGTATATTTACCTTCATTAGATAGATAGATAGATAGATAGATAGATAGATAGATAGATAGATAGATAGATAGATAGATAGACAGAAAGAAAGAAAGAAAGAAAGAAGAAAGGAAGAGTTAGAAGGGATCTTGAAGGATGGATGGATGGATAGACAGACAGACAGAGATATGTGGGTAGTAGGTAGATGAGATAGACAGGTAGGTAGGTAGATAGATATGGATGGATAGATGGATGGGACAGAAACAGCCCTTAGACTCACATACCGCTTCACGGGGCTTTATAGCCTTCTCTAAGTGGTTGACAGAGTCATCATCTTGCCTTCAACAATCTGGGTCCTCATTTTAGTGACCTTAAAAGAACGGAAGGCTGAGTCAACCTTGAGCCAGTCAGGACTGAAATCCAGGTAGATGTCAAGATAGATGGATAATAGAAAGACAGACAGAGAGAAGTCCTCTGAAGACGAACTCTAGACCAGAACGAGCCTGAGAGCTTGGAAGACAAAACCTCCGGTCTCTGTGACTGGCCCAGATTGGACCCTGCAATATGATCCTGGGACAGGCACCTTCCTGTCTGTCCCACCACCCGTGTTCTTCTGTGATTCCTCTCTCCGAGACACTCGTCTTCAATTTCAGAAGCGGTTAGAAAAAGAACCTCGGCAGGAGATAAAATCCAGAAAGCTTCCCTTTTCCCCGATCCACCGATTTTCCAGGATAAGAAGGAGGCTGAGCCTGAAATCACCCTTAATTTCCTATAATTTGGAGAAGAAAACACTCTTTATTTTTTCTTCATAATAAGGATCCTTCTCTCTGGCTGCAGCTGGGCCCGTAAGTCTTGATGCCATTGAAGTGTTGATGGCTCGTTCAGGGCTGACAGCCAACGAGGCGCCTGCCGAAAAACAGAGATGCTCTTTCTAATTGCAAGAACAAAACCGTGGAAATAATGATTTCAATGTTTCCCCTCCCCGTCGTTTTGTCCCACAACTGCCCATCGAAAGAAAGTTATTGATCCGGTTTGACTTCCATCCTGTCTTTATTTCGGACAACTCCAGATGGTGCACCAAATATTCCTGCCTCCTTTTTGCTTTGGTTTTTTTTTTCCTCCTTCCCGCCCTCCCCGCGACAAAAGAAAACCCCGTTGGCCGGACTGGGAAGGAAATGCCGGCCCAAGGTCATCCAAGCTACATTCTGTGCCTTAAAAATCTCTTCGCTTTCCTGATTTTTACAGTATTTGGCCCTTTCCACCACTACCCCATGACCGGATAGGTTTTAAGATCCAACTCCCTCTGTTTTGTTCCTGCAGATACTTTTTGCAGAGGGATTGTCCTTCTCTCGGTCTTCCAGCTCCGATCAAGGTCAAAAAACATGGAGCTGCTAGAACTGGGAGCCACTTTGAGATCTCTTACCGGTAGAAAGAAATTCAGAAACCTGATTGGCCGAAAAGAAAATTCTAGTCCTGCCACTAACAATAAAAGTTTGCTGGGAAATAGCCTCTCTTGGGATCTGCTCCCTGGTTACAAAACCCCAGGATCTAGAAAAGTGTGCGTGGCTGTTTTCTATCAGTCTCAAAATAGATTCTTCTTCTTCCTTCCGTTTGCATTCAGTGCATTAAAAAAAAGAAGGAAGAAAAAAACACCTTTGAAAATGTGAAAATTGTTGAGACTCCAGAAAGAGTGCAGAGAAGAGCAACGAAGGGAAAAAAAAAAAAGGATTAAAGGATTGGAGGATAAAACATATTGCAGGAATTGGGTTTGGCTAGTTTAATTAAAAAAAAGGACCGGGAGTGAGGAATTGGATACGTCTAGTTGAAAAGAAGGACTAGGGGTGACATGATAGCAATGTTCCAATATTTGGGGGGCTTCCCCAAAGAAGAGGAGGGGTCAAGCTCTTCTCCAAAGCCCCTGAGAGGCAGGACAAGAAGCAACGGGTGGAAACTCATCAAGGAGAGAAACAACCTAGAACTAAGAAGGAATTTCCTGACACCGAAGACAATTAATCAGTGCAAAGGTTTCCCTGCAGAAGTTGCGACTCACCGCCTATAAAACTTACATGTTTTATGTATATTTATATTGTGTTTTACACATCGATTTTGCTTGTAACGAAATGTCTTGTACTAAACATTGTATATATTTTTCTTTTTTAATCTTTAATAAAGTTTATTTTTTTTAAAAAAAGAAGAAGTTGCGGCTGTTCTGTCACTGGAGGCTTTCAAGAAGAGACTGGACAGCCACCTGTCTGGAATGGTATCAAGTCTCCTGCTTAAGCCGAGGGTTGGACTAGAAGACCTCCGAGGCCCCTTCCAACTTTGTCATTCTATAGTCAAACTTCCCGGTTCTCCAATGGCAAATTCTTTCGTGCAAGCTACATATGCAGGCAGCATATGCAGAGTGATGGACCATGATGGTGAATTTGGCCCCCGTTTCAATGACCTTTCCGGCCACCGTGGTTAAATGAGTTGTGCAGCTGTTAAAGCCAGTCATGTGGTCATTAAGCAAATCTGGCCTTCCCCTTTGACTTCGCTGGATGAAAGGTCGCCAAAGGGTGATCCCAGGACGCTGCCACCGACATAAATATGAGACAGTTGCCAAGCATCCGAATTTGGATCAGGTGACCAGCGGGAGGCTGCAACAGTCATAAGTGGGGAACAAATAGTCATAAGTCACTTATTTCTGTGACATTGTAACTGTGAACGGGTCACTAAATGAACTGTTGTAAACCGAGGACGGCCTGTGCTTAACCCCCTTCCTTCTTTCTAGCTGGATTTTAGGTTTCCTTGTCTCTACCACCATTCACTTGGGAACGCATGTAATCCTCCACTTACGACCACAGTCAGGAACAGAATCTCCACATTCTTTCTCTTTTTTAAATTTTTTATTTATTTTTGACAACAAATATCGGGAGATAAAAACATAAAATATCAAATAAAACCATCCTCCCATTGTACAGTCTGTCGGTTGGTGCCTATCTTTTGTGCCCCAAATCAACAGTCTTTCCCTTCTAGATTTAAATTAAAATTCATATTGTATAGGTCAACTATGCATGTTATATTATTATCAAATCATTATTACTTTAATTACAAATTCATGTCATCCTTTTCGAGCAAATCTCCTGTCTTCGTATCTTGTGATCTTCTCCAGTTCTTTCTCTTTGTTGATGATGATGATGATAGTGCTTTATAAACCCCGAATGAGGTAACCCCAGGAATACTGCATCCAGTTTTGGGTCACCACATCGCAAAAAAGATGTTGAGACTTTCGACAAGAGATAGAGCAACGAAGATGATTCAAAGGCCTGGAGACTAAAACATATGAAGAATGGCTGCAAGATTTGAGTTTCGCCTGCCTAGAGAAAAGAAGGACTTGAGAAATTTCCTGTCTGTGAGAATAATTAATCGGTGGAACTTTTGCCTCCAAAAATTATGGGTGCTCCGTCACTGGTGATTTTTAAGAAGACACTGGACAACCATTTGCTTGAATTGGTGTAGGGTTTCCCTGCTTGAGCAGTGGGGTTGGACAAGAAGACCTCCAAGGTCCCTCCAAGGTCTTTTAGTCTGTTATTCTCTTTCTTTAGGATTAAAAAGCAGAACTGGAGATCCAACCATCTCCATGTAGACTGAGATCCAACCATTTCTATGTAGACCGAGATCCAACCATCTCTATGTAGACCGAGATCCAACCATCTCTATGTAGACTGAGATCCAACCATCTCTATGTAGACTGAGATCCAACCATCTCTATGTAGACCCTAGAGTAGGAGATTCCCAGCAGCTCAATTTGGCATCTCTTGGGGTTCCTCAAGCTCTTAATTTGATTCCCAGTGCCCCTGAACAATTACTTCCCTCGACGGCTAATTACCTTCTGTGAATTCTTCTTCTTCTTCTCCTCGTTTCGTCTCTTTGTAAACAACCAAACTTGCAACAAGAGTTTAGAGACAGGAGGTTTGTTTCTTCTCCCAAAGGGACAGAGAGTTGGTGGATTTGGGCTCGGTGGACTTTTGAAGGGGCTGCCCTGTGATCCAAAAGGCGGAGACCCTCCTGGGGTTCAGGATCATATGGTTGAATGAGGTGTATATCTGTGTCTCTGATTTTGCTAGAGTGGGGGGGAAAAATGGCTCGGATCGGTCCAGTTGGGTTATCTTGCCCACTCAGGGACCAGAATCTAAACCACATCAGTCAGGACTATGGAAGAAGTTAAATGCTGCTTGGAACTGAACCGAAAACCAAGTTTTCAGGATCAGCAAGGATGCTGTAAAAATCCTTCTTGTGTAGTTCCTGCTTATCACATTGTCCTTGGTGTCAACGAGTGGCAAGTTGGAAAATTGGTCAACATAACTGTAGATAACCACTTCCAGCATCCATGCCATGTTTGGGGCCGAGGATGATAGTAGTTGGGCTTCAACTTCTTGATACCAATGTCCACAGTGCTCACATGTGTCTTAGTAATCTATCTTCCTTCCTTCCTTCCTTCCTTCCTTCCTTCCTTCCTTCCTTCCTTCCTTCCTTCCTTCTTCCCTTCCCTTTTTCCTTCCCTTGCTTCTTCTCTTCCCTTCCTTCTTCTCTTCCCTTCCTTCCTTCCCCTCTCTCCCTTCCCTCCTCTCCCCTTCTTCTCCCTTTCTTCTCCCCTCCTCCTTCCCTTCCTCTTTCATCCTTTCCTTTCCTTTCTTTTCCTTCCCTTCCCTTTCTTTTTTCCTCTTTCCTTTTACTTTTCTTCCTCTTCCTTCCCTTCCCTTCCCTCTGCTAAGGATCAAAAGGAGGGTCTATCAGATCCCACACCATTTCATTCTTACCTATGAATCCATTCCTAGACAAGGTCCGTCTACGTGGTCCCTAAAAGCTGAGCCTAATTTGATGGCACAAACTTTTATCAAAAGATACGCCCAAGTGTGGGAACAGACGGCTGGGAAGAAACCTGTGGTCCTCCTTGGTTTTTCCAATTAGAATTACTTCTCTCTTCCCCCCCATTCCTTCCCTACAGGAAAATATCTTTAATTTCTCAGCAGGATATATCACTTGTCAATTTTTCTGCTGGTGTAAGGCCAACGGCAGCATTAGCAACGTACCGGAGAGACAGAGGGAGAGAGAATGTTATAAGGAGGGGGAGGAAAAATGCAAGCAATTTTTATTTTATTTGGCCACTTTGCATCTCTTTGCAATGTCTGTTATTAAAATTTCCATTTTGGGGGTGGAGGGGAAGGCAACGGGATTGGCAGGTAGCAGTGTCATGAATTTTGCTGCCAAGATTATTAATTTTTTTTTTCCTCTGCTTCTCTTTTCCCTTTGGGTCTTTTGCTGTTTGCATTTTCCCCCCTGCTGGATTCGACCGAAGAGCGGCGAGGGCTTTTGGCGATTATCTGTCTCAAAACCATCCAGAAGGCAAGAATGGTGCAGGTAGGGATACGTCCCCCAAGATTCGTACGACATTGATTTTATGCCACGCCTTCGCTTGCACCTGGAGATTAATTTTAATTCGCCCTCATTTTAAATTGCATCCCTCCCACAAGCCTCTTTCTAAAGGCAACACGTACCAAGGGCGAAAAAGAGCCACGTTGAAGCCTTGAAGGAACGTTAGAAACGGCTCTGAAATTGGAGCCAAACGATTTAAATTAATACCGACGCCTGCGGGATTTCTCAGTTGGGGCTTCGTTAGCTAACGGAAGCAAGAATGAAGCAAAATAAATTCAGGGCCAGCCTTAAAACTACAGCTAATCAAGGATATGGCTCCACACAGGTAGTCCTCGACTTACAAGTTCATTTACTGACCGTTCGAAGTAACAACGGCACTGCGAAAAGCAACTTAGGACCAATTTTTTTCACGCTTAGGACCATCGTGGCATTCCCGTGGTCACTTGGTTTGTCAACTGACTCACATTTGTGACGGTTGCAGCACCCGGATAGGGAGAAATCTTGTGTTTCTCATCCTGCTTTTAGATTGTTTGTTAGCAAAGTCATAGGTCGCCAAGAAGACTCAACCCAAGTTGGGTTGGGTCAACCAAGGATGTTCCTCACCCAGATAGGGAGAAAGTCCTTCACATCTTGTGTTTCTCCTCCTGCTTTCAGATCACCTGTTGGCAGAGTCATACGTCGGTCAAGAAGACTCCCCAGAGATCCACGTGGGTGTTCAGAACAAGCGACGTCTGTCTGTCATTTCTGACAGGAAGTTCCAGCCCACCTTCCCCGAGGAAGCTGGGGAGAAGCTGGCTGGCGAGGGCCCCAAACCCCGAGTCTATACCATCTCCAGCGAGAGGCCCATGCTCTCGCAGCACCAGAGCGAGAGCATGGAGCTGGTAGTCCTGAAAGGGACGGAAGAAGAAGAGATGGACGGGGAACGGTCCTTAGGTCAGCCTCTCCACAATGCCGGGAGTTCTCACAACATCAACCGGCAATGCAAGGACAGTTGGCCAAGTCACCAGCAAGGCTCGAAAGAGTCTCCCAGTTGCGCCCAGCTCGCGGTGTCGTCTCAGCATCCGTTTGATGAAGAACATCACCACCAACACCACCAACACCATCACCACCACCATCACCATCATCATCAGCAACAACACCCACAACACCAACAACACCATCAGAACGAGGCTGGTGAGACCGGTTGGCGCCGGAAGAAGCTGGAACGAATGTATAGCATCGACCGTGTTTCCGGTAAGGTGCAATCCAGTTACGTTGGCTTAATCTTGGATGCCTCTTGCTGCAAAGGTGTGGCACAGGTAGTCCTGGACTTTACGACCGCAGGTGGTGAGCCCAGCGTTTAACGTTGCTAAGCGAGACTCGCTTCGTAAGTGAGTTTGGGCTCATTCCATGCCCCTGCCTGCCATTGCGATTAACGCAGGGGTCGGCAACCTTAAACACTCAAAGAGCCACAAAGGTTCCAACCAGATGCGCACCACTCAATTCTGGAGCCAACTGGAAGTCTGGTTCCCCCACCATAGAGTCTCCTCCTAGCGTGGTGTCCTTTTTCCTCCACCTGTCCCAACCGAAAGCCCTATCAATTGTAGCGCCTCCTGGTGACAGGGAGCCACAGCAGAGGGATTGAAAGAGCCGCATGCAGCTATAGAGCCACAGGTTGCTGACCCTTGGGTTAAGGGGATCATTGCGAGTTGATATATCAGTAACCCAGTCATTCAGTGAATCTATATTGACTTTACTTATCAGAAGGTCCCAAAAAGTGACACTGGAACCATCATAAATACGTGTCCATGGCCAAACGTCAAAATTTTGATTGTGTGACCCGTGGGAGAAGCTGCAATGGTCCTTAAGTGTGAAAAACGTTCACAAGTCGTTTTTTTTTTTCAGTGCCATTGCAACTTTGGTCACTAAATGAACTGTTGTAAATCGAGGTCTACCTGCAGTGAGTTCCATATAGGGTAGTTTCTCTTGGCTGGAAGTAAATCCTTTGGTAGTTTCTGTTTTGTTTATTCCAGATGTTATTGTCGCTTTTACACCAAGGTTAAAAATAGGGTCAGAAAAATGGTATTTTTCTCTACCTATGCCTAATTCCAATCAAATGGCAAACTATGATTTTTAGATTTGGGGTCATCTCCTAGCTAAACGTTGGCAATTCTGGTTTTTATGATGTTACTAGCTGGATACCCGTGCTTCACTACAAAACTATGTGGTCCGGCTTAGTTTTTGGGGGAGGAAAATAAGGGGGGTGGGAATTCTGCCTCTGTCTACCAGCACCCATCGGTATTCATCTGGCTAGCATCCTGTCAGGGTGTGAGAGAGTTGAGGGCTGTTTGGAAACAGCAGCAGTATTTGCTGTGCGAGGTAGAAGGAGACAGCAAGGAGCCTGGGCGTGGCTTAGCTCAACTGTTCTGGACTAAAGCTGCTTGGTGCTGTGAAATTAAAATAGAAACTCCTCTCCTCTGCTTGTGTTTTGCATTTGGAAGGGTTTATTTTCCAAGTGGGGAGGGGGAGTCGAACTCCTTAGCATCAGAGCGTGTTAATAATAATAATAATAAAGGAACTACGAATGCTCTGATGATCATTTCGAAAAATCCTTTCTTAGTGAGCCCCTAGAAGCCAAGAGGAACATAGGTGCCAAATTTCAAGTTTGTAGAGTTTATGGTTCTGGAGATTTTGTGATGATGAGTGAGTGGTATTTCGCTTTTATATAGATAGATTCAAATATTGCATAGGCTGTACTGCCATTTCCATCCCCTTAAACCTTTTTAGCAATGCGATGATTAATTTCTTTTTGTTAACAATTCTAATTTGTAGTTATTTCTCCCCATCCCCCAATCCTTTATAGGTTAGCTCGGCATTTCTCAAACTTGCCAGTTTTTAAGACACGTGGCTGGGGAATTCTGGGAGTTGAAGCCCGTCACCCGTCTTGTAGGTTTCTAAACATGATAAATAAATCCATAAAGCTTGAGAGACACGGAGCTAGATAAGGTTATCTTGGCAAGGTTGCAAGTCAGGCCAATATAGCTCGAGGGCTGGTCGGTCAATGAATGAACTGTCTTCTTTGCTTTCCTTCCCTGCATAATTTGAAGGTGAGAGGCCCTCCGAACCTTTTGCAATATGAAATTCAAGATAAGATCAAGAAACCTCTCTCGGATTGGAGTTATTATTGCAAAGGAAATAAACAGACTGAGTGTTTTATGTTTTGGAGTCATTTTTATCCCGTGCAATAAGTTCTATGTTTGTGGGTCACCTCCCCTTTTCTCTCATGGTTGCATCACTGAGTTGCTATGATGGTTCGTCACACAGCCAGCCAGATGTTTAGACTCGACTTGGTATTTTTGTCAACCTATTGAGGCCTTCCCCTAAGATCTGGGACAGGTAGATGCCGTTGTTTGATGGTCGTCAAGATATCGTAGCAGGAGGTCAGCCATTCAAAGTCAAGCTGCCTTCTGCAATTGACCAATGGGGATTTTTCAACGACAATGCTGTTCAAGTATTATGATGGTGGTGGTGGTTCATTGTAGAGTCAGCCAGATGTTTAAACTAGATTCGGCACCTACTTCCCCAGGACCTGACATAGGCAGATGTGGAGGTATGATGGTGTTCAAAGGTCTGGTTGCAGGATGTAAGCTGTTCCAGGCCAAGCTGCCTTTTTGCAATTGACTGATGGGGATTTTGTCAATGCCACGGCATCCAAGTATTATTATCATGGTTCATTGCACAGTCAGCCAGATGTTTAGACTGGATTGGACATTTTTGTCCACCTCTCGAGCCCTTCCCAAGAACCTGGGATAGGCAGAGGTGGATGTTTGACGGCGTTCAAGCTCCGGTTGCAGGATATAAGCTATTCTAGGTCAAGCTGCCTTCTGCAATTGACCGATCAGGATTTTGTTAATGCCACTGTGTATTATTATTATTATGATAGTTTGTCACACAGTAAGCCAGACTGGATTGGACATCTGTGTCCACCTTTTGAGCTCTTCCCCAGAGCCTGACATAGGGAGATGTTCTTGTTTGTGGGCGTTAAGATCCCATTGCAGGATGTAAGCTGTTTCAAGTCAAGCTGCCTTCTGCAATTGACTTGACGGCCAGTCTGTCAATGCCAATGAGATTCAAGTGGTGCTCCAGATGTTTTGGGATGACTCCCAAAGCCCCAACCCCTCTTGGTGCTACCTTGATGCTTTCTTTCACCCCAGTCATTCTGCTTCTTTACAGATCGTTGTGCTTAGCCATCATCACCAACCGTTTCTCCTCTTCCTCTTTTATTTCAGATGAGGTTCCTATCAGGACCTGGCTACCCAAAGAGAATCTTTTCACTTTCCAAACGGCGACTACCACTATGCAAGCGTAAGTTCAGACAAAGAAAACTGGGGTGACCATACAGGGGGAGGATGGGGGGACAGCAAGCATTGGGAGTGGAAGCCGTGTGTGAATCAGGATTTCAACCCAGCGTTGGAGGAGCAAAGAATAAATAAAAATTGGCACGCTCTTTCCAATCCCTCCGCCAGCAACTCCTCTGCCCTTTTCTTTATTTAATGCTAAATTCATGCGATAGAACAGAAGGTCCTCTGTTTATGATCGCTTCTTTAAGGGCAATTTGAAAGCAGTGCATCCTCTGAAAAAGTGACCTATGATCTCGTTAAAGTCGTGATCGTCGCAAAACCCCCACAATCACATCACCACAATCTGGACACTTGGCAACCGCGTTGCACTTTCAATTTGGTTCATTCGATTTGTTTTTGCTGCTCATCTTGGCACAAACCTCCCCATGGTCACCCGATCAGAATTTGGCCGCTTGGTCACTGGCTCGTAGTTATGATGATCGCATCGTCCGGGGTGCCTGCAATCGCCTTTTGTGACCTTGGGATGAGCCAAACCCACGAGAAAGCCAAATTCACCGAACCGTCATGTTGCTGTCTTAAAAATGGCTTGGATTCACTTAACAACGGTGTCAATAAAGGCAGTAAAATGGGGTAAAACTCCCTTAGCAATTGTCTTCACTTAGCAGCAGAAAGGTTTGGGCTCCATTGCGGTCATATGCTGAGAAATGTGTGCATTTGTGAACCATTTGCACAATGAAGGATGATTAACGATGAAAAGGGGGATTTGCCACTAACATTTCTTCTCGCTGTTCTTCTTTTTCTGCTTCTGGATTCTTTTGGGGGGCTGCCAGCATTTCGTAAGTATAATTGCCTCCACGCCTCCATAAATCTTGTGTATTCTTTTATCACTTGCTTGTATGGGCATCCTTGGGTCAAAACTTCTACATTTCTTCTGGTATGTTGTGCCGGTGTCGATAAACCCCTCCAAAAAAAAAAAAGACCTAGAGTTGAGCCTTTCTCCTGCAACCATTTTTGTTCGGAAAGGTGAAGATGTTGTGATCCACAACTTCATTTCTCCTGTCTGCTGCTTCGCAACTTCCATTTTTTGTTTTGTTTTCTGGCCAAGTTGGGCGACTGGAATTCAAAGCGTTTTTTTTTAAAAAAAGCACCCTCAGTGAAGCCTTTGCATTGATCGTTGTGTCTAATCCTTCCCCGCTGTCTCATGTGGTCTTTTGTCCATCCGTGATGTATTTTCATACGAGGAGATCCTTTGAGGAGTTGTAAGATGCAGATAAAAGGGAGCGCGGTGGCTCAGTGGCTAAGATGCTGAGCTTGTCGTTCAGAAAGGTCAGCAGTTCAGCGATTCGAATCCCTAGCGCCGCGTCACGGAGTGAGCTCCCCGTTCCTTGTCCCAGCAGCTTCTGCCAACCTAGCGGTTCGAAAACACGTTAAAAATGCAAGTAGAAAAATAGGGGCCACTTCGGTGGGAAGGGAACAGCGTTCCTCCGTGCGCCTTCGAAGGTGTTTAGTCCTGCCGGCCACTTAACCACGGAGACGTCTTTGGAGAGCGCTGGCTCTTTGGCTTTGAAACGGAGATGAGCAGCGCCCCCTAGAGCCAGAAATGACTAGTACGGATGTGCAAAATGCAGATGTAAACATCAGAGTGGCTGAAAGAAAACCGTGCAGTCAGAGGGAAAGTATTTTGTCTTTGTGGAAATGTGGAACGCGTTTGAATTCTGGTGTCCTGAAACAGTGGAGTTTGGAATAATTGAGGGAATAACCCTCTCACCCTGAAAGCGAAAAAACAGAATTTGGCATCTGCTTGGGGACCTTAGAATACGTGCTGTATTTTATTCATAGTTTGGGGCCTTGCAGCATCCTGACAGACAGTGATGATTATTGTCCTGATGGGTCATAAAACATCTGCAAGCAGATAACCCAGCTCAGAGCTACTGCATATAAACAGGGAGCAAGTTGCACCAACTAGCACTGATGATGTTCCCTAGTTGGGTCGTGAGATGTCCGCAAGAGAACAACCAAGCTCAGAGAGCATCAAGGACCTCACTTCTATCGTTCTCCATTTAAATCCCACGAAGGATAGAAAGTCTCTCTGAATCGTATCAAAAAATAAAATCCCTTTGGATATTAAATCCAAGATTCGGTTCCTGTTGGAAAACTTGGCCCCTTTTCTGTTATTCTCCAGGATCATCTCCTGAGAAACTTGGGAGATCTCTGATCCTGAAAATAATCTCTTGCCTCCCTAGTCAGAAATTCCTGAAAGTTGGGTCTTCCTTCCATTTCTTCAAGCCTTTTGAAAAGCCATTTCAGCTGGTGGGGGAGTAGCAAGTTTTATAAGTCTGCCTTTTGGAAGTCCTCTCCTTGGGCTGGTTCCCAAAGGAACGGAGGTCGAAGCTGGAGGTCGTGAGTTCTAGTTATGCCTTAGCCACAAAATCATCCCCGTGACTTTTGGGCCAGTCCCTCTTTCTCTCTCTCTCAGTCCTAGGAAGAAGGATCCGGCAGGTCAATTGTGGTGCAGTGGTTAAAGCCACGGGATTATAGAGGTTGGAGAC